TGTGCCACTGTACTCCAGCCCGGCCAACAGAGTGAGACTCTGTCTCAAAAATAAAAATAAGACAAATAAGATTGCCCAAAGAGAATTAAAAAAATGTTTCAAATAAGGAAACAGATACTACCACAGAAGATTAACAGACAAAACATGCCTTCCAAAGAAGAATGAATTATAGGACGGTATTTAGTCTACATAATGCACGTAACAATCAACAGTCATTAAATAACCCAAGGCTATTCATTGTTAGCAATCTGTGCTGGGAACATTTTGAACAGTCTTTTATACAGGTATTTTCATTTAGTCAGAATTTTGGGGTATTTTACCCTTCTTTCATAGTATCATGCTCAGTAAATCCAGTACATCAACTAACATGGCCCACTTTATATGCAGTTTTTGCATCTAATTGAAAAATGAGAGAGGAAGCTTGGAAAAAAAGTATTAAGATTTTGTTTATCACAGTTTGATCAGTAGATCTGTCTTATTATTTTATAAAATAATATCCAGCTGCAGCTCAAGTGCATATTTTACCTAATTTGTATCCATTTATATTCCTATATCTTAAAATCATTTGGCCTATTACAAAATACGTGTTTATCCTTTACAGTTTACCAAAATATGGCAAGGTGATGAGGGTGTATGATGCACTTGAGAAAGAACATTACAAGTTATGTTTTAAAACTGGAATTTTTTTCTGCGTGAAAGATACTTAGTGCAGAATAATATATCCACAGCCAAAATGCACCCACTCATTTCTATTCAGTTAAAAGAAGGAAGAACAGACCCCAGGTGAGTTTTAGCTCCATTACCTAAGGCTTTGAGAATATCACTTAACATCTGTGAGCCCTGCTGCTGCTTCTGTAACACATTAATAATGACACCTCCCTGCAAAGGCAGTTCTGATAATTCACTGAGGCAGGGCCTGTGAGGGTTTTTCCTGTGTGATGTTAGTAATTTTGTGCAAGGGGTGTGGGTTCATCATGTGTGTTTGGAAGCTGAGGAAATTGAAGCACTGAGCTTAGAGAGAGACCAGCTCAGGCCTGTAGCCACCCTGGCCCTGTGTTTCTGCCTTGTGGCTGGATTTTCTAAGTCGTGCTGTGGGTTCTTTAAGAAGTGCTTTCCTTATTAGCTTGCTCGAACCCAGGAAACTGTCTTACAGGCATATTTCTTAAAAGATGATTTGCAACCCCTTGCTGCATTTTGTCACGTGAAATGACACTCTGGCTCCTTGAAGATGGCTAATGGGTAATTGCCAATCAGGCCAGCCAGTTGGCTCTGAGAAAGGCTTCCTTGAAAGCCATGGTTCAAGTTTTGCAGAGGCCAGGAGGTGAATGTGAGTTCCAGGGACCTCCTTCCCAGAAAATCCTGTTGCGTGTGCTATCCTGGAAGTGAAGACAAGGTAGGGACACAGCTGTGAGGGCTGATAGTGCAGAGAGGTCATCTCTTAGGTAACCAGACAGCTTGTCATTTTTTATTTTCTTCTTTTCAAAATTCATATGTAATAATCACCAAGAATTCCGATATTCACACAGAGAAGTGCTTGTGGCAAACATTTTTAACTGCCAAACTAAGATCTTTCTTTTTTAAGATGAAGAAAGATAAGCAGCATTGTTTTATAAAGATGAGTTTATCGTCTCCTCCTCCACACCCATTAGTCCTCAGAAAAGTTATTTCTTGAAACTGAATTTGGAGCGTCTAAAATGGCTTTCACAGTGTTGCTGTCTTCATCTGGGGATTTTGGTGCTTAGGGAGTGAAGACTTTCAACGTGAACACCCCAGATTTTTCCAAAAACTTTTGTGGCATCATTTGTGCCTACCTGAGAGTGTATTTTTTTCTTTTTATGAGGTTGCGATTTATACACACACACACACACACACACACACACACACACACACATAGAGAGAGAGAGAGAGAGAGAGAGAGAGAGAGAGAAAAGCGTAACAGTGGCTATGAGAAGGAAATGCTTCTCCATGAAACACGGAGCAGGTGAATAGCTGACCCCAGGGGCAAGTATGAGAATGGTGTTGAAGCCTCATGGTAGTTAGGATTAGGAAATGTAAGGAGCTGTGTTGTATTCTCCAAACTGTAAACTTTAGGAGTCCTACAGAGTGAATGTTAATAAGTATTTTTGATCAGGAGGAGGGTTTGGGTTTATAGGGAGCTTAAGAGAGAGAAATGTGGCTGCCCTTCCCCCACAGCTGGCACTACTCTGGAGGGGAGAGTATTACACATTTGGGTATGGACACAGGAGCATAGGTGAGTATGGTTGCTAGTCTTACACCAAATGCTTTTCTGTATTTTGTTACCTATTAACCATACAAACTTTCCTATGTATCATTTAATTATCACTCAGTACAGTACTTGGACAAAATAGGAATAGTCTACTGTTGACTGTTTTTAGATTAATAACTTTGAATTTTTCCTAGGAGAGATTTTAAGAAGTTACATAGTCTAATCTCATGAGTCCCAAATATAAGAAACAAAGGCTCTGCAGGTTTAAGTTTTCCTTTGCCTTTTCTTAAGAATTTAAATATTTTTCTTCAGAGGTTTTCCTTTGGACTCTTAGATAATGAGTAACAGAAATGAAGGAGGGATACCAAAAGATATTTTAAAACATATTTGTGTCCTTAAAAACGTGGCAATTATTGACAGGGTTTTAAAACGACAGAAGTTTCTAGCTAAATGCCCTCCCTCACACCCCCACTCCCACACTGAGTACTTTGTGGGAAATATGTGGTAGCTCTTTGGGAAGAAGTATTAAGTTTGTGAAAAGAAATGAAGAGTTGCCAGGTCCAGGGTAAGCAGACGCCTGAGAGAAGGAAAAAGGTGGACAGAGCTGAAGGATGCTAATATCCCCCGGGAATTCTTTTAGTAAGAGGATGCTAAGATCCTCCTGGGAAGTCTTTTACTAAGAAGCCCTCATTAGAATGTGAGTGCCTGATGGACAGGAATGCATCTCACTGGTCCTTGCAGTCCTCTTCCCAGCCCCTGCCTTTGTACTTGAAGGCTGCAGTCACCTGGGTACGCTACTTCAACTCAGGCCTGTGAGGTGGGGAGAAAGGGTGGACAAGATGTAGTTCATCATCTGGAGGCCTCAGTATTGCCTTTTTTTTTTTTCTTTTGAGCACACAAGACTCTTAATCACGTTTTCATATGTGTTCTGTTTCTTGGCCTGCATGAGGAGGCTCATAGCAGCATGCTACTGACGGTGAGTGTGAACTAAGTGTTAAAGGAGAAGGAAACAGAAAATGAGAGAATGCCAACTTGAAGCCATGTGTGCGTTTTTGTGAACATTTGCTACTTTCTTAAAGAGCCCCAGTTAGAGAAAAAATAATGCAGGGAGCAAATTTTAGTCGGCTGGTTAGGTTCTGAATTGTACAGACTTTGGACCTTGGCATATGACTAGTCATTCTAGAACCTTTTGAAGTTTTGCCACCAAGTAACTCTGAAAAGGCTGATAGCCAGCAGTAGATAGTGGAAAAAGCCAATGTCCTCTGGCTGAAAAATTGAGGTACATATTATCCCGGTGGTTAAAGAACCTGCCTGGCACAACAGCAATAGCTGGTAAGTGGTAGGATCATCCAGAGATGAAGGGATGGATCACAGGATGGTTGCTGTGCTGGACTTTCCCCCTAGAATTCATGGTCACTGTAGGCAGTGTAGGGGAAATGGTGCAGATTTTATAATTAGGAAAGACCTGTATTCTGCTTTCCATTTGACCACTATCTAGCAGAGACATGGGAATACTTAATTTTTCTGACCCTGTTTTCTCATTAGGAATAGGGCTTTTGCAGATCTGTTGGGAAATATTGGGTCAAGAGGGGTTTAAAATGAGATGTTGCCTGGCACTGAGTAGGAGCTTAATATCCATCAGTCCTTTCTGCTTCAGTCAAAACTCACCTTTTTATGTAGAGTAATTATTGTTTGTATTCCGTTCTTCATTTTGAATATGGAACCACGAATGCCAACAGCTTTACGATAAAAGGAGCCGTTTGTCAGAGACAGTCCTGTAAGTGCCTTGTAACCTGGTAGATTCTGCATGTAAGGGCAGGCAGGTTACAAATGTGAATCCCCATAGCTGGTACACTCTGCGTACAGCAGATTCTTAAGCCATCTGTCTACTCTTTTTAACACTATCCTGAAGTCCACATGAGCCAGAGTTCAACAAAATGAATGAATGTAATCCCAGAACTGTGGAACTTCTCTGTGATTACATAGCACAGAGAACTACAGAATCATTTTCTGGAAGAATGCACCATGAGATTATGCTCCATGTGGAATGGGGATACCTTAATGTTGGTAGACTAGGGTGAGGTTGACAGGTTGATCTGAGTAGAGACCCTGGGAGGAAGCTAGGATACTATGTAGTTGTGGTGGTGGTGCTGTTGTTTTGCAGTTCCTGGCTGCTCAGTATTGGCAGCTTTCTCTTTTGAGTCAGCGAGGCACACAGCAAGTAATTTCCCATCCTGAATCTCTCACAGCTGCTGAACTGTAGTGGATATAACTGGGACGTGGCTATTAACTTTAAAAATTTGCATAAATCCAGCCCCCACTCCCCTGCAGAGGCTCAGTCTTGTCTTTACACCTTCCCTCGAGGTGATTCTTTTCTGGGGGTAAAGGTGGGAACCGGGGGGAGAAGGAAGGAGGAAAAAGAAGGCGGACCCCTCTGGGCACCAGCGGAGGAAGTGTGGAGTCCATTGATCTAGGTACTTGTGGGGAGGGGAGAACTCGAGCAGCAGCTGCCAACGGAAGGGCTGTGAGTGAGCAAGCGGGCGGCTGGCAGCGAGGCCACCGGCAGGGGGGGCCCGGGCCGAGGCCGCGCCACTTCGGCACCACGCGGGCAGCCGGTGCGGGGTGGCCGCGGCCAGGGGAGCGCTGGGTGCCTACCATGGCCGTCATGCAAGCGGTGGCACCTGGTCCTGCCTCCCCGCCGCCCCGCGCCCCTTCCTCCACGCCGCCGACACTCCGATCTCTCTCGCTCTTTCTCTCCCGTGTTTTCAAACAGGAAGTGCACGGCTGTCGATAACGTGCTGCCGGGTCCCAGGATGGAGGAGTGAAGTCCCCATCGCCGCGGTTCCAGCCTCCGGAGCTCGCCCAAGCCGAGTCCCCAGAGAGCGCCCTGAGGGAACAGGGTGGCCGCCTGGTCCAGGTGCGCGGGGTCGGGTCTGGGTCCGGGGCGCTGGTGGGGAGGTCCGCGGCACGGGGTGCTGGGGGTGCTGCCGGGGTCGGATCTGCACCTCCAGCGTAGTGCTGCAGCCTCACCCGCCCGCCCCCACCGCTGGCTTCTCACCCGGGGGTTCTGCCAAACTCTGGCTGCTGCCGCCCTGGGTTCGGGCCGGCGGAAGGCCCGGGGCGCGTGCTGCAGACGCGCCTGCCAGGACTCTACTGGGGCGCTTTCCAGGCGGGGCTGCGCTGGGCTGCCAGTGCATGGGGAGTCTTCCTGGAGTCCCCGGCTGCCCTCTCCACTCTCTCCTCCAACTGCTGCTGCCTGAAGCGGCAGCTCTTTGTTCCTCCCTTGCTGGTCTGAGGTTATGAACATAAATGTCCTGGGAGGCAGGGTGGTGTGAAAGCAAGGGCTGGGGACGTAGGGAAGAGGAAGAAGATGAGCTGTGGGTGAAGTGTAAGGTGGACAGGAGAGAAGAATCTTAAGTGTCCATGCTCAGAAGTCTCAGCTTTTCAGCTGCTGAAACAGAGGACCACGGTTCCTTGCTTTCTGTTTTGGGAAAGCCAGGCCTTGCCAAATGGAGGGAATTAGTGGTGCAGACACACACCAGAAAGGTAGGGACCAGGAATGAGACACAGCAGCGAGTTCTGAGGTGTTTAGTCTGGTGTCTGGCTTGTTAACTCCACTGTGGTTTCTTAGCCAGGCTTCCTTGCTGAGACAGAAGGTACTTTAACATATGAGCCAGGCATCTTTATTAATTCCATTTGTCATCAAAGTAAAATTGAGAGTGACTTTTCTCAAATTCACCAAGTAGATTATAATTTCACATCCACATCCTGTTCCATCTCCAACGTTCATAGAAGGAGAATAAAACGCTAGGGCTGGTCTTATGCTACAGACTTTTGCATCTTTATTTCCCTGGCAGCTCCTCTTTCTCCAGACTAACTCAGATTGACTTCTCCCCCAGTGAAAGCCTGGCCTCATTTTACTGCCTATTTATCTACCTGGTGAAACTCCAGTCTTGAGGAGGACACTAAGGGACTGGCATGGTTGAGAAGGATCCGTCTGACCAGATCGTTATATGGTCTCACATTAAATGTTTGAGCCCTATTAAAGCCAGTAGCATCTTCTTAATTTTTATTTCAGAGGAAGGGATGTGAGCATATGACTAGAGGGGAGGAAAGTGAGACTCTGCCAAAGAAGGTCACTCCCTGTAGCACTGAGGAAAAGTGAATCTGTGTAGCACAGTATCACATACACTGCGTGCTTTCACTTTATTGGGTAGCCAAGCCATCTAAGGAGTCAGGGTTAGGTGGAGAATTTACATTTATGACATGGGATGCTGACTATACATTCTGATGCTAAAAATTTTATAATAAAACATTTACTATCTAATTAAGTTTGCTTTGAAAAGAAAATTTACCAGGGTGGGACAAATTTACCCACCTGAGTACAAAACATGTACTCATTAACTACATGACATTAAGTAGCCAAAATGCACGTTAAAAACTGAACAATTAAACTTATCCTTCCTAGATGTACATGGACTTCTTAAGTCTGAATTTAATTGTGAGATGGCTGTGTTTATGTCTCTTCTTGCCAAATACATCACGAAAAGTGAAGAATTTTTTTTTTTTTTTTTTGAGACAGGAGTTTCGGTCTGTCACCCAGGCTGGAGTTCAGTGGCTCCATCTTTGCTCACTGCAACTTCTGCCTCCCAAGTTCAGGTGATTCTCCTGCCTCAGCCTCCCGAGTAGATGAAATTACAGGTACACAACACCATGCCCGGCTAATTTTTGTATTTTTAGTAGAGACAGGGTTTCGCCATGTTGGCCAGGCTGGTCTTGAACTCCTGACCTCAAGTGATCTGCCCACCTTGGCCTCCTAAAGTGCTGGTATTACAAATGTGAGCCACCGTACTCAGCCAATCGAGAGATTCCTGAAAGACCTGTACAACCATAGTGTTTTGCCTCTACTTTTATACCCATGTGTATTCCTTGCCCCCCAGTTTTTTATCTGGGGACTTCCTTTAGCATCTGTCAGTCTGCTCTAAGATACAGTAGAACAGCTTTTGTGACCCTCCAAATCTCTTTCCCATTTAGGTAGAGTCTCCTTCCATTCTACTGGTACTTAAACTCAAATATTATATCTGGCCTTTAGATTGCCCTTTCTATTTACACACTGTATATTATGTATTTTTTCTTTACTCCTTTCAACAGAGGTAAACCCTTCTTGCTCCTTTCCATGCTCTAGTGAAGTAGGATTCATTTTCTCTAGTTTATGGAGAGAGAAAACAGGCTGATGAGATGTGACTTGTCAGTGGTCGTATTAGTAAATGGAGTTGTTGAGACCTGAACGAGGGTCTTTTGATGTAATCCGTGGCTCTTTTGTAGTCTGGAAAGTTGCTGCCTAAGGAAGAGGTGGCAGTGCTGATTCAGGTGGTCCTTTACCATCCCAAAAGAAAGCTGGATTGCCTTACCACATCTCCAGGTTTTTCCTTACTCCTCCTCACTCAGGCTCTGCCTTGGAGCTCAAGGTTTGTTTTTATTCTTGAGGCAATTTTTTTAAATATTTGACATTTACACTTCCTCTGTGTCTGTGACTAGATTTAGCTGTGTTTGCACCAGTGTGATTTGTGTTCTGCTTCCAAAATCCTTATAGTATATTTTAATTTACAGATACTTTTTGTCAGGTTTTAGTGAGCAAGTATCTTTCTGAGGTACCAGATTACCACATTTTAATTTTTTAGAATTAAAAAACCACTTCTGGCTTACTCCTAGAGCAGTTTATGTCCCAGAAAATTAATTAGTTAGTAGATGATGTATATGACTCCACTCCCCACTACTGCTGCCACCATGCACATCCCCTAAGCTTTCATTCCAGCTCAAGGTAATCCACTGAGAGTGTCACGTTACAGAACAACGTGAGCAAACCCATGTAACTTTAAATTATAGATGAAATATTTTTGTAATATTCCTTAGATGGTAGTAAGTTTATTTCCTTATCTTTTTAGCACTTAAAGTTGAGGCTCTCTTTAGCTATGGTGTTAATGTTGCACCATTAACTAAACTGTAAAATAATGGTTTAATTTGTTGTACTGCAAATTAAAATTTGGAGTACATTTTTCATAAGTGGTGGATAAAATATTCATTTTATCTTCCATAATTAGAGTATTTGTAGTGGTCTATAACTTTCCCTCTGTAAAACTGTGGGCAAAACCCTCAGAGAGAGAAGGTAGGGGAGGAGCAAAAGAGAAGAAATGAGAGATCATTCTTCTATAAGGGAGGAATGAAATGATACACGTGTAGTTCCTTAGTACACAGTGCACTGCCTTTTCTGTCTGCTGGTGACTTTCAGTGGCTTGTGAGCTAGCCGTGTATCTCTTCCAACAGAAAGGCTAAAAATGAAAGGGTAACTAGCTTTGATGTTAAATGCCAAGGAAAAGCTAATGGCCAAGACGGGACTAGGAGTGGAGATAAATGCAAGTTAAGATTTCATTTTTTCAAAACCTTTTTTCTTTTCATGTATATTATAAAGCAAAAAATAGCCTTCTTAGTCAAATTATAAACTATAATGCAGTGGCCCCTGACCCTTACAAAAATCAGGAAGCTTTTATTTAATATTAAAAGATTTCAATGATCTTAACTGGTTCACTGTTTTACTTCGTATCTCTTATAATTGCAAATGTTTCATGAGGGTTATGTAATATCACTCAGCTGAGTATATATTGCAAGTAATGACTTCAGCATCTTCCTGTATTTGTAAAATAGCACTGCATGTATGCATGAGATAGGGATTCAGCCTACAGACCTCTTCCAGCACCCTGAAGTCTATAGGTTGGGAATCGAGGCCAAAGCAAAACAACTACTCCAGACTGAAAATGTAGAATATGTTAGCCATCAGCGTATAAAGATTCACAGATGGAATTTTTCCTCTTTGTTGTACATTAAATGGGTGATGTGGTAAGCCCTTATATTCGATCTGGTCTTGTCTCTGGGCTAATTGTTTTTCATGGTCAGCCTTGAGATCTTTGCAGTTAGTTATGGATAACTGGATTTCTCCTAAGAGCATTTTCCCTGCAATACATCTGTGAATATCCCTTCCCTGTTTTTGTAGAGTCAGGACTCTGAGGCCAGTTGCAGAATCATGACGGTCATAGCCACCACCACTACCAGCCTTGTATTCATTTCCCAGAAGCTAAAAGAGGCTTCCCAGTCTTAACCTTTACAGCTTAAGTGTAAGAAAAAGGAGATATGATTTATCCCTGTTGTGCAGTGGAAAAAACTGATGTGTGAATTCACATTGAATTAGTCCCTGATTTCTGTGTGTGTTATATGACACGAATGTAAGTCATTCTGCTTAAGATAGGTTGAGCAGGGCAGGGAAATCTAGTAGAGTTATTTCATGAAGTTGCTTTATTTGGTTAAATCACTTCCTATCTGTTGAACACTATAGTTTTTAGGCACTGACAAATAGACATTGGTTATCTCTAATCCTCCTGGTATGCAGAGTGAGTAATAACCATGTTCTATGTGAACAAACTGAGGCAGGCAGAGACTCCAGGTCACATGGACAAACTAAGGCCTGGACTCAGATGCAAATTTGTGCAGTCTCTAACACTGAAACACTTCCCTCGCTGCATACCCTGCTTTCCTTTTTCTTAAACTAGCCTGTGTAAAGAAGTGATCATGGTTTGTTTAGTCTTACTTACCTTTTCAGCAAAGGTTAAGTTAAAACTATAGAGGATATGGAGACAGTATGAATAGGGACATGTAAGGGTCAACACTTTGATGAATATTTTTGGCTTCCATGTAGTATGTATTCATTTCTTCCTAAGGAACCTAGATATATGGAATTTATTGGCCTTCATGAGAATTTCTTGAGACAATATTGCCCACAAACAAAATTGCTGGATTGTAGGAATATGCATACTAGGAACTGCATAATTTTACTGGGAACTCTATAGGTAGTTGTCAACTTTATATCTCCACCAATACTGCATAATGACTTTTTCTTAAACAAATTTCCTGATTGCTGCCAACCTGATAGATGTTGATTATATCTAATAGTTTAATTTTGTCTTTTTCTGATTGCTAGTGAGGCCGAACATGTCTTCATTTACTTAATTTAATTTCCCTTTTCCATGAATTGTCTTTTTACATCTTTAGCCTATCCTTTATTTTCTGTTGGGTCTCTTGCCTTTTTCTTGCAAGAACTTCTTGAAATAAGTTTTGTAGTGTTTCTTATATATTCTGGAAATTAATTCTTCATTGTCTTTAGACACTGAGTAATTTTCTTCTAGTGTGTCACCTTTCTAATAACTGTCTATGGTGCCTTTCAGTAATAGCAGCAATGAAATCTTTAGTTTTAATGCAGTTATCTCATCACTTTATAATATTATTATGGTCTGTGCATTTTGAGTCCTTTAAGAAATCCTCCCCTATTCCAGGCTCACAATATTGTCTCTCTTCATTTTCTTTTATTAACTTCAGAGGTTTACTCTTATCATTTGGGTTTTTAAACCACTTGGAATTTGAGATATGAAGTATTAATCCAAGTATTAATCCAATTTTTAGTTTTAAAAACCTGGTTCATATTATGAGCCAGTTTTCCCAACATTATTTACCAAATAATGCATTCTTTCTCCACAGAGTTTTGGTGCTACCTCTAGCATGTAAGTGCATATGTGTAAAGACCTCTTTTTGAGATCTCTATTTGGTTCCAGTTGACTTAATTGTATGTTCTTGGGGCTTTGATACACTGTTTTATTTATTTATTTATTTAATTTAAGTTTAGGGGTACAAGTGCAGGTTTGTTACATAAACTTATGTCAAGGAGGGTTGTTGTACAGATTATTTTATCACCCAGATATTAAACCTAGTACCCATTAGTTATTTTTTCTGATCCTCTTCCTCCTCCCACTGTCCAAAAGGCCCCACTATGTGTTATTTCCCTCTATGTGTTCATATGTTCTCATCATTTAGCTCTCACTTAGAAATGAGAACATGTGGTATTCAGTTTTCTGTTCCTGCATTTGTTTGCAAAGGATAATGGCCTCCAGCTCCATCCAAGTCCCTGCAAACGACATGCTCTTGTTCTTCTTTATGGCTATGTAGTATTCTGTGGTGTATATGTAGCCCATTTCCTTTATCCAGCCTGTCAACTCCATTTCTTTGCTATTTGAATACACTGTTTTAATTGTTCCATGTATCTTTATATAACTTATTACCATGACTTCTTGTTACCATGGACATTTATATAATTTGGTCATATTGGCATGATTAACATATTAATACAAATTTTTTAAAATTCAAGACTTTAAGATTATTTTGAGGCAGATTCCTTGCCCTTATTTGCATGTGTTAACTTTTTGCAGCTACACATTTTCTAAAAACACATTTCTAAAAGACATTTTTCCAGAAACGTGTTGACCTATCTAAGAATATTGTTTGATTTCCTTACTTGGTAACATAATTTTAATATTGCTGACATTACATTTTCTTCTGTTTTTGTTTTTTTGTTCTCTTTTCTTTCCTTTCTTTCATTAACAGTTACAGCTCCCTTTCATACTTGGTCATCTGTGTAGGGCAGTGGTGTCTCACTTCAAAGGCTTGTTCTCCTCCATTGCTCTGTATGTGCTTATAGAGAGAGCTATGACGTACATTCCTGGTATGGCTTTTGATTGAATGTTTTATGCGGTGTGATGCTGTACTGACTGCAT